AAAAAAAAAAAAAAAATGAAATCAGCTATGCTAGTAGCCCTTGGGAGAAAAGTGGCTATTCAGTTGTCTGCTTATAATAAGCATTAGAATAAATGAGCATTTATTATTTTGAAGTTAGTTGGAAGAACTTCGCTTTTCTCTCTGCTTCCCTTCACACCTCCCTAGAGAGGACAGAATGGGGGTAGTGAGAGTAAAACTCTCTAAAGAGGAAAGGGCCATTGGAGATGGGTGTTAATTTCTTTTTCTTTTGAGACAGAGTCTCAAGCTTTTGCCTGAGTAGAGTGCTGTGGCGTCATAGCTCATGGTTACCTCTAATTCTTGGGCTCAAGCCAATCCCCTTGCCTCAGTTTTTCTATTTTTAGTAGAGATGGAGTCTCATTTTTGCTCAGGCTGGTCTGAAACTCCTGAGCTCAAGGAATCCATCCACCTCAGCCTCCCAAAGTGCTAAGATTATAGGCATGAGCCACCACGCCTGGCCTTGGGTGTTATTTCTGTGACCCATCTGCTCGCCCGCTCTAACCCAGTCCAGAGGTAGAAATATTGTGCTGTAGGGTGGTATATTCAATCCCTGACTCCATAAACACCTCTCAGCATGAGTGTAGGCTCAGTGGTATGTCCAGAGATGTGAATTAGATTTGCCAGTGAGGGGGAAATGGTACTACAAGGTATCCCTGTCCTGGCCCACCTGATGGGGCCAGCTTCTCTTAGAACCTACACTGCTTCTTTCCTTAACCCTCCAGCCCCCATCTTTGAACTTCCTCCTAGCTTCATCTTTCAGTTGTACTTTAATGTCCCTCTTAATTAGGATATTGGGGCTGGCAAAGGCAAGTATTATGCTGTTAACTACCCGCTCCGAGATGGGATTGATGACGAGTCCTATGAGGCCATTTTCAAGCCGGTAAGTGGCTTTATCTACCCCTTGGGCTACAAATAGGGTTGACCTAAGGGGAGGGGGAACATAACACTCCAACCATACCGCAAGCATTTCACCCCACAAAGTTAGAAATGAGAGGTATTTCAACCCTAGATTATTGTGTAGTTTGTTAAGAAACAAAAATCATCTGAACAGGCAGCATCCATAGTTCAGTGGGTAGGGCGCCAGCCACATACACTGAAGCTGGCAGGTTCGAACCCAGCCTGGGCCAACTAAAACAATGGCAATTGCAACAAAAAAAATAGCCAGCGTTGTGGTGGGTGCCTGTAGTCCCAGCTACTTGGGAGGCTAAGGCAAGAGCATCAGTTAAGCCCAAGAGGTTGCTGTGAACTGTGACACCAAGGCACTCTACTGAGGGCGACATAATGAGACTCTGTCTCAAAAAAAAAAATCATCTGAATATTTGTTGAGGCCTTCTATGGTCCAGTCTTCTGCTGGATATGAGAATATCTAAGACACGATCTTTGCCCTCACAGTCTATGGTACGGAAGGCAGGCACAAACCCAACAGTATGTCATCAGTACTGTTTTTATATCACCATTTGGGGTCAGCTACTGGGAGACTATTGTGTTCTTTTGGTGGGGTTTTGTCTCCCTGGGTTTTCCTATTTCTTAACTGCCTTACATCGATGTCTGCACATGTAAAGAACTAGGAACTTACTTCAGTTTTTGCAGACTGGCTTTGTCTGGGAAAGCCCTTTACCAATGAGCCCATTCACAGGTTCTGAAAAGGCTGTCTGGTGTGTTTGGGCAGGCTGGCCTGGTGCCTGTGTTTTTGTTGTTGTTGTTGCAGTTTGGCTGGGGCTGGGTTTGAACCTGCCACCCTCGGTATATGGGGCTGGCACCCCACCCACTGAGCTGCGGGCACTGCCTCGGTGCCTGTGATTTTTTTTTTTTTTTTTCAGTTTTTGGCAGGGGCTGGGTTTGAACCCGCCACCTCTGGCATATGGGGCCAGCGCCTTACTCCTTTGAGCCACAGGCGCCACCCCGGTGTCTGTGTTTTAAGGGATGAACAGAGGAACTGCAACCTGGGCTGGGGAGAGAGTAGTCAAGGATGATTTCAGAGGAGGTGACATTTGAGCTGGACTTTGAAAAATGAGGAGGTACCCATGTGAAGAAGGATGTGGGAGCCATAGGGTGGCATTTAGCAGAAAGAAGAGGACCAGTGGAAGTGCAGAGGTGCCAGTATGTTGTGGCATGTAGGCCAGTATAAGTGCTTGCTGTGTGCCTAGTAGTAAGCACAACAAAAGTGTGAGTTATGGTCTCTGTCCTCAGTAATGTTAGAATTGACTTGTGAGAATAAGATATACAAAGAGCTTCCTCATAATATAAGGCCCCAAGTTAGTAGGAATGAATGAATAGAGTGGATGTAGCTAAGGATCAGGAAGTCTGCTTAGAAGTGGCACTGGTGGCTCAGCGCCTGTGGCTCAAGTGGCTAAGGCGCCAGCCACTTACACCTAAAATGGCAGATTCGAATCCAGCCCGACCTGCCAAACAACAATGACGGCTGCAACCAAAAAATAACTGGGCGTTGTGGCGGGCGCCTGTGGTCCCAGCTACTTGGGAGGCTGAGGCAGTAGACTGGCTTGAGCCCAGGAGTTGGAGGTTGCTGTGAGCTGTGATGCCACGGCACTCTACCCAGGGGGATAGCTTGAGGCTCTGTCTCAAAAAAAAAAAAAAGAAGTGGCACTGGTGTGTGGGCACTGAATGAAGGGGAAAATTTGGGAGTTGGCAGGGAGACCATTCTAGGTCTAGCATTGTTGGGGCCAGAAGGATCTTTTTTTTTTTTTTAGAGACAGAGTCTTTCGCTTTGTCACCCATGGTAGAGTGCCATGGCGTCACAGCTCACAGAAACCTCCAGTTCTTGGGGTTAGGCGATTCTCTTGCCTCAGCCTCTAGCGTAGCTGAGACTACAGGCACCCGCCACAACGCCTGGCTATTTTTTTGTTGCAGTTTGGCTAGGGCCAGGCTTGAACCCACCACCCTTGGTATAGGGGGCACCCTACTCACTGAGCCACAGGTGCTGCCCACAGAATGATCTTAAAGATCCTTTCAAATTGGAAAACTGAAATCCAAAGTTGGGAGCCCCAGCCTACTATCTTTTTTTCACATAGCATGAGGGAAAGTGGAAAGGTAGGAGCTGGTGATAAGGAATAGACTAAAGTGCTGCACTCAACCTCTCTACCCCAAACCTTGTATAGCTTTTCTTGAGGTTGGTGGTAACCAGGATGTGTTTCTTTAGGTAATGTCCAAAGTAATGGAGATGTTCCAGCCCAGTGCAGTGGTCTTACAGTGTGGCTCAGACTCCCTGTCTGGGGATCGGTTAGGTTGCTTCAATTTGACCATCAAAGGTGAGATCAGGTTGCACAAGGATGGGTGGGCTGGGTCCTGCTGGGTGGTCCTATAACCCAATACCCCTTTTTCCACCAAAGGGCATGCCAAGTGCGTGGAATTTGTCAAAAGCTTCAACCTGCCTATGTTGATGCTGGGAGGAGGTGGTTACACCATTCGTAATGTTGCTCGATGCTGGACATATGAAACAGCTGTGGCCCTGGACACAGAGATCCCTAATGGTAATAGCTCCAGAGCCAGGTTGGACTGGGCTGGGCAGGGGCTGGGGCTGGAGCTTGAGCTCGTGTCCTTCAGACCACAACTCCTCCCCTGTTTATCATATATGGGGACACTGTGTCATTGTGATTGGCAGATCATAGCCACTAGTTTTTTCTTAGTACTTTTTGACTCTGTCCCTGTTTCTGTTTGGACAGAATTATTAGTGATTATTTATAGCTTTGGAATATCTACTTTCTTACAGAGCAATTCAGGTAGAGACTGAAGGGGAGCACTTACATTGAGCAGTGCCTAAGTATCTCGATCCAGGGCCTAGGTCATCTCCTAGTGACACATCTGCTGGAGTGGACACTGGAGAATGGTGTTAAATCCCATAGGCATCTAACCCTATCTCAGAGGCATTCTTCTGCTTGATAGATGGGTAAACAGGCTCAGATAAAGCTGCAAATGCTTTTCTCAAGGTTAACTTTCTTCTCTTCTTCTCTAATCAGAGCTTCCATACAATGACTACTTTGAATACTTTGGTCCAGACTTCAAGCTTCACATCAGCCCCTCCAATATGACTAACCAGAATACTAATGAATATTTGGAGAAGATCAAGTGAGTGCCTTCTGGCCACCCCTTGGGGGACATTCCGGGTTGTGGTTTGTCCCTAACCAGGCCTAGCCACCCCCTCTCCCTTTGACTGTAGACAGCGACTGTTTGAGAACCTCAGGATGCTGCCCCATGCGCCAGGGGTTCAGATGCAGGCAATTCCTGAGGATGCCATCCCAGAGGAAAGTGGCGATGAGGATGAAGAAGACCCTGACAAACGCATCTCCAGTAAGCCCCAGACCTTCTCCCTTAGCAGGAAGCTCTGCCACTCCTGGTTCTACAGCCCCCCACCCCACCCTACCCTGTGCTGCCTGCCTGTTAAGAAACTGAAGTTCAAGTTCCCATGCCTGTAGGAATGGCTTATGGAGTCTGAGTTAGCTCTCACCCTTTTCATCCCTTTCCTTGGTGTTTCTTAGGGGACTTACAGGGAAGCACTAGGCATATAGGTCTTCAGATTAAATAGCCTCTTCCCTTCTCCTGTACTTTCCATTGCCTCCCAGTCTGTTCCTCTGACAAACGAATTGCCTGTGAGGAAGAGTTCTCTGACTCTGATGAGGAAGGAGAGGGTGGCCGAAAGAATTCTTCCAACTTCAAAAAAGCTAAGAGAGTCAAAACAGAAGATGAAAAAGAGAAAGATCCGGAAGAGAAGAAAGGTGGGTTTGGGTTGAGCCAAGGCTGGGGTCTTGTGCCCTGGAATAAGATGACTCTATATAGGGCACTGGGAGGGAGCTGACTCAGGCCCTCCCATCTGTTCCTGTGGGGCTCTGCCTTAGTTCCTTGGGCCTTTCAGTGGTTCCCACAAGTGGCAGGTCCCACAGAACAATGAAACTCATCTCTACTGGCTGATTGAGCTGTGGCTCTCACCACCCAAGCCCTTTTCCCAGCATTTCAGCCATTTCCCAGGGGGCTGCCTCCGCCTACCTGGGTTCTGGCTGGTAGGCTGTAGTAGGCTGGGAAACCGGTCCAACCTGTTCTCTACAGGGCTCACTGGGAGGACCTGGGATGGGATGGGCTTTTCTCTTTTTTATGTCCAGTCAACTGTAGTGTTGGGGAAGGGGTTTCAGGGTGAGACCTCATGGGTCTTTCCAGAGAGGCTACCCTTGGCCATCCCTGTACTCTTTATGTTCTAGAAGTTACAGAAGAGGAGAAAACCAAGGAGGAGAAGCCAGAAGCCAAAGGGTGAGGAAGGAGCTGTCTGTTGGCCATCTCCCTGGCATTGGAGCATCAGTGGTTTTGTCCCACCACTCAGAGGGAAGGCACAGGCACAGCTGGTCCAGTTTACAAAGGCATCTTTCAGGGACCAGTCTGTCTCTGCAGTTCTAGGCAGGGCTAGGAAGCCCCAGCCCCCAACAATCACCTGGGCAGCTGGGGTCCTGTGGAAGTCATTGTATCCACAGTTTTGCCTCAAGGCTTTGGGGTAGGTTGTCTCATGTCAGTTTTTGCTCTCTCCACAGGGTCAAGGAAGAGGTCAAGTTGGCCTGAGCAGACCTCTCCAACTCTGGCTTCTTGTCAAGTCTCCCACCTTTCTCGAATACCCCCTCAGATTTTATATTTTCTATTTCTCTTTGTATTTATATGAAAACTTATTAAATATAAATATCCCCAAGGCTAGACAGAAACAAAGAAATAAGGGTGCGAGCTGGGCAAACTCTTCTAGGCGCTGCTTTGCTATCCATCCCTCCCAGTCTTAATTTCCAACCATAGAAGTCAAAATCCTGAAACACCAAGTCCTTGCATAGTAAGTAGCTTTGGAAATGTGCCCTTATGGTGCTTTTTAGAAGGGGTGGCTGAGTGTTTAAGGACCCCCTCCCCCGCCCCCAGTGCTTTTCAAGCCCCGAAGGTAACATCAGCCGTTTTTTTTAGTTTGGTTCTATTCCTCATACCTTCCCACTGGGCTCAAGTGAGCCAAGGAACTCACACTGCCTGCCCTCTGTCTTCTCCCAGTTTTGCAGGTGGAGGTTGGTAGTCTAGTTTCCTTTTTGAGATACTATTATCATTTTTGTGAGACTTTGTAATAAAATGGTACATTTCTATACCCTCTAGAGCTTCTGTTTCCTACCTGTCCGTGGGTTAATTTCAGCTGTTACCCTGACCTTTTAGGGTGCATGAGTAGCTGGGCAACCCCCTAAACACCAACAAAGTCATCAACTTACCTGTCTTAACCCCTCCCTTGAGGTTTGAGATTAACTAGTTCGCACCAATCTTCTCACCCTACCCCCAGTAGACCACTCATTAAACACCACTAAAGGGACAACATTTATTCCTTTTCCAAATGTTACAGTAAAACCAGGTGGAAGAGAATGGTTTTAGCAGTTAGGAAAAAAAAAAAAAAGTACAAATCTGGGGTTTTGGCCATTAAAAGTTATTTACAACAATGGAAGGAAAAAAAAAAGACAACAAGAAGTTGTTTCACATTACAGACCTCCCCCCCACCCCAAAGCCTAATACTTGCTTACCAAGTCAAAAAAGAGACACAGTTGATTCACAAGCTGGAGGTTTGAACTTGAGTAAGACATTTATAAAAACCTAGACAGGGCAGTGTCCTCCCCAGCCCAGGTGCCACTAGGCACAGCACAAGAGACTAAAAACAGGGGAAAAGGCTGGACGCTCAAGGTTTGGGAGTATAAGCACCCCACTTCTGGCTCAGGGTTTTAGGGAGCAGGGTAAACAAAACCTACTTGGAAAAGAACTGGGGAAGAAAACCAACAATTGCCTTCTCCAGGGGTAGGGCAGGGAGAGAGGGGGGAGGGCCAGAGACAGGAGCATTTCACATCACTAACCTAACTTGGGAAGCTGTAAGGGACCATCTTCAACTGGCCTTAAGAGGATGACCAGAAGGTTGATGGGAGAATCCACAGGAGGGAAAGGAGGAGAGGGAATGTGGCTGGGAGGGGGCAACAGCCCCTTTCTGGGCACAGGAAGGCAGCCAGGGCGCCAGGTCCAGGCAGTGACCTCACAAGGACAGCACAGTTTTTGCAGCTTAGAGACCACCCACCTGCCCCCACCCAGCTACTCATTCTGCTCAGCGCTGGCCGATGTAGGGCCACTCTCCAGCCCGGAGGGAGTGGACGGCTCTGCAGCCTGGGGCCCTGCCTCCTCTTCTGTGTCTCCTCCCTTGGAGGCAGCACTAGCCTCTGCCCCCTTGGCCTGGGGCTCCTGGCTCTCGGGGGTGGCAACAGCCTTCCCTTCCTGGGCACTGCCCTCGTCGCTGCAGGCACCAATCTCCCCCTGCTCCTGCTCTTCCTCTGTGGGTGAGGAGGCAGAAGAATCACCCCCACCCTCCTTCCGATTTCTCTTGAAGGACAGGCCGCTCAATTTGAAAGGCTTCTTGAAAGAGAATTTCTTCTTCTTCTTGGGGGTCTCCTTGGGGGGGGCCTCCCCCTTTGCCTCAGCGCCTTGGCTAGGGGGTGCTGGCTCGATGGCATCACCGGTCGCCCCGGCTGCCTCATCTGTTCCGTTCACGGGGGGCGATTCCCCTTCACCCTTGGGGGATAAGTCTCCATTGCTTTTCACGTGGCCATTCTCCTGCAGGTCAGAGGAGACAGCAGTGAGGGCCAGGACTCCTCTCCCCCTCCCCCAGCTCGCTTCTGACCCCTTCCAGACAGCCGGGTCCCCGACTCGATTCTACTGCAACCCCAAAGTCTGGCTTTTGCCTCGCCCCTCACAGGCGCGCGGGGACCTAGCAAACAGAGGCCGCGGCCGGCAGGAGGCGCTGGGGTCGTGTGGCCCCCACCCCACTCCCTTGGGGCGCGCTCTCTATTCCGCGCGGAACCGCTCTGGATCCGCTGTGCGGATCCTGGGCAGGCGGACTAGTCGCGCTAGGCGATATTGGGCGGGAAGCCGCCCTGGGGCGCTGTTTCTCTGCACCTGGACGGCCTATTTTCCTAGCCTCCGGCTTTGTGCAAACAGCCCCCCACCCATCTCAGGCTCCCCCCCCCATTCTCGGCTCCCTCTTAAAAAAAAAGCCCTGGGCCTCCGAGGTCAGATCTGCGGGTGGAGTGCCCTCCCCGCTGGGCAAGGGCTCGCGGCCCCAGGGCGCCCCCTTGGCGTGGCCCAGCAGCGCCTTTGTTCCCCGCGCGGCACTCG